TTTGGCCATTCTGGAGGCATATCAGTGTTCCGGTTCCCAGCCACTCTTTCTGTACTCTCCGTCAATAAACATTGCAGTTCATAAGAGCAGTGTTTGGGGGAGGATGTGACTTTAGGATTATTGGAGGTGTAAAAACAGTTGCCGCTAGGATGCGTACTGAACGTTTTTCTCCAGAGACTCATTTATGCAAATGAACAGAAATGCAACGGAACGAGCGCAAACATATACAGATGGCAAAGATGTGAAATACAGTATGTGCCTTGTCTCGATAAAAGTTAGGAAAGACTGCCTTAAAGGAGAAGTCAAATTTTTTTCAATCATGTTCTATACGATGCCACCAGTCTAAAAACAGTCTTGTGATTAATATTACGATTGCGCAATTCAAATTACTGTATTGGCCCGAATATAAGACGGTATTTTTTGCATTGAAATAAAAAAGTGGGGGTCGTCTTATATTTGGGGTCTAGACATTATACCCATTCACGACGCTAGATGGCGCCAGATATCATTGAAGCGAATGCTGAACTTGACTCCCCAGGCCAAAGTGAACCCCTGCCACGAAGAATAAAAATAAAAATAGCGGTAGTACGAAGAAGAAAAATAAAAAAATAGCGGTGAGAAGGAAAAGAGAAGAAAATAATAGAAGAGACAACAGAAAATGGAGAAACGTAGTGACAAACTGGAGAAAAGTGGGCAGCTGAGGAGAAGTTATGATGTAATTTACATTTAAAAAACCAGAAGCCATTCATTTACGAATGTGATAGCACTTTAGATTTGAATGAGGCAAAATAACATGCCTTTTCTCTCAAATATATTGTTATAATCATTTGTTTCAGATGCACTGTAATTATTTTCTGTATAAAAATTAATTTGATGTTCAAAAAGTCTTTTTTCAAACTTCAGTCTTGAAAAAGAGGGGGTCATCTTATAATCAGAGCTGTCTTATATTGGGGTCAATACGGTAAGCAGCCATTATCATCCATCTCTGGGGGCGGCTATTTTGACACTTGCTATCGACTGAAAATGACATCCCCGTTGATTGGGTCTTAAAACGACCAATCACGGCTCTCCTATTCTTTGAATTTGGTCATGTGGCGTTTGCAAGTTGAGCCATGATTAGTCGTTACCTGAGAAGCAGTTTTATTGCTTCTATAGGCAAACTGGCAGGGAGCAGTTACTGATGTCATAACATTTTGTTATCCCGGCCACAATGTCACATGGCCTCAGTTTGAACACTAGCCCTGCTTTGTGCGCCGTCGGCGGCGTCCCACCCACTCACTTTCACCACTTTCTCCCCCCGATCCTTCCCTCTCGTCATCCATCCCTCCTGCATTCCATCCTTCCCACCCACCTTACGGCTCTCTCTTTTTTAAATTCCTGCAACTGCACTAGCCCCTTTCCTCTTCCCTTTCTCCCATCATTTCCCCGCTGATTGTCTTTCCAGACCTCATTCCAAAACAGCTTCAGACGGAGACGCTTCCCATCATTTTTGCTTCCATTAAAGTGTACTTGAATTGTTAGCGCACACGCTTGACCGTATGACGTTCCTGTCATTACATTGCTGAGTAAATTGACCAGGGCTTGGCTGAGTTTGCTGTAGCTACCTTGTGGCTTTGAAGGAGTAATCAACATGATATGTTAATTCAATCTGTGTTCTACCTCACTCGCTAAGCTAACCGAACTTGAATGCATTGATTTCTCCGCGGCGTTTTCACGTTATTTTCTGTCTCCACGACGGAAATGCCACAACGTGCGGTGTGCGGTTGTCCCGTTAAAGTCTGGGAGAAGTGCAACATGCACATTTTATGTGCGATAAGAAATGTTCTCTTACAAGGTATCTCTGCGAGTTCCACTCCAAGATTTGTCTGCATTATGTTGTCAGAACCATCAACGGTAAAATGAAAGCAAATCCCATCGGGACAAAATTTGCTGCGAAATGTGAACCTAACGTGCAAGTCAAGATTCACGATATAGTGATAATATACTCTAAATGGTCGATGCAATCAGTGAAGTTCTTTGAGAGATTCTCGTTATTCCGTACAGACATCTTGTTAATCCATTACGTATAAGGCAGTGGTTGTATATTACGAGTACATTGGTGAACTTATTTTTTCACAATATTCTAGTTGGAAAAGTTGCCTGCAGTTTATTTTAAGTTTTATGATGGCTATTGTATCACACAGTTTGGGGCAGAACAAAAATTCTAAACGCAAACAAATCAGAAGCTGATTCATGTCCCACGAGGGATTGTTTGAATTGTTATCTGACTGTGTTCCTGCCTCTATGCCCGTCATATTTTTTATTTTGCCATCTGCCCCATGTTGACAAGGAATCAGCACTGTGAGTTTGCCTGATGATGCCATTTTTCAATTTTTACCCGATGATTCCTCTCCGGCAACAAACAACAAAAGACTATGCAAGAATACGATGTGACCAGGAATGAGAATGTGAATAATTGTGTTGAGCCAAGCCGCTGTAGACTTTTTTGTTTGTGTGCTTTGCAAGAGAAAATAGAAGTTTAGAAAGTTGAAGAACATCATCATCCAGCAAGATAAATTCGTTTTCCTGGTATGTAGTCCACATGCTGTACGCGTTTGATGATGCCCCACCATTTTCATTCCTATAAACACACCACTGAACTTAAACTGCATGCGTGGGGTTTGAACATGCAAACTCCACATCAAAAATGCCCAAACCTTCAACCAGATTGTAGAGTCGACTGCCTCCAAAGCTGATATTAGGTCTGCAGTCCATGAATGTGTAATTGGTAGTCTTGTGATCTTGTGACTTTCATCGTGAAGTTGCAGGCTTTATGGGATGGCCACAGTTGTTAAAATGAAACAATTATTAGTTTCAGTTACATAGTCAAACCGACAGCGGCATGGTAACCTAGTAGTAAGCAGGACTGCCTCAGTATTCTGGGCTTGAGGGTTCGAATCTCGGCTCCGGCCTTTCTGTTTAGAGTTTGCACCTCAGGCTGAAAAGCATGCGTGTCAGGTTCATTGACAACTTTTTCCGTTTGTGACCCGCAAATAGCTCCGCATCCAAATGCGGACCAGCAATGTTCATGGCAGTGTGTAAATTAACAAGTGGAAATGTCAGCTTGTTGTATAGGATTAAGTCAGAGGTTTCCCTGTTTGGCTCAAGCACTCATGTCATTGAATGAAATTGTTTTTGGCATTAGTCGTCTTCTCCTGTCCAGGCGTGGAGCCTGTGAGGCTTGCAGGTGTTTATGACGGGATATCCCCGTAATCATGTCGGAACTCAATTAATGATCCTCACAAAGCAACACACACAACCCTCCCCCACCCCTTCCCCCAATTGGCCAAGTGGATCGGGAGAAGAGACTCTGGAGTGCACCAGCTGCCGCCGTAGCCAATAAAGTGGCCGAAGGTCAAAGAGCACAGGTCACACACACAACCTGCTTCGAGGTGAGGACCCTACAAAAGATGCAGCCAAAACTGTCTCCCCTGTGATTTATATTTTGAAACAAATTAAAGCCATCAACATTTTCTCCTTTAAAGCAGAAAATAGATATCATTTGCATAATTTGAAGTAGTCTTTTAACATTTCCAATATTTGTGTTGATGTCGCACTTGACACGTTTGCGTCATCGTTCCAAAGTTCTGGGTTTGAATCTCGGCTGAAGGCGTTCTATGTGGAGTCAAAAGCTTGAATGGTAGGTTTATCAAGGACTCAATTGTTGTGAATGTGAATTGGTGTTTGTCTATATTTGCCTTGTGATGGGCTGGCAACCAGTCCAGGGTGTACCCCGCTTCTCAGCTGGGAAAGGCTGCAGCTCGCCTGCTTTTCATCACCGTGACAACCATAGCATAGCGAGGAACTAGTTGTCATACATCTTATATTCAGAAGAGAAAAAAGGCACGCCATAGTGATGAAGTCAAAGCATAATTGGCATTTTCAGTCATGGAGGCAGCACTTCATCACCAAACACAAAAAAAACTTTTTTCCACAATGACAGCTTAACCAAAGATTCGAGTATGTACTGCTTTACAAATGTTAACGCTGGTAATGCTGTTGCTAACATGTGCTAACCCTGCAGCTCTGCTTACCCCAAATGATGGACATTTGCTGAGCCTCGCTACCAACTCATGGGCGCAGAAAATCAATGCGGTGGCGGCATTGTGTAAATTAGCCCCGCTGTTATTTCGCAATCTCCCAGAATTCAAAACGGCTCTCTCAACGTACTCTCAATACATTTTCAGAAATAAGCAGCTAAAAGAAGATGTACTTGTTTCTCTATTTTTGAACTTGTGGTGTGGGCAGACACTCCAGAGACCATATTTTTGTACACAATATTAAATAGTAGTATTTCCATTGTACAATATGTCCCCTGTAATCCAAATGCTACTGCAATTGATTCGGTTAGCATGTGTAACTGAGCCTAATTTTCTAAGCGTGTCATGTTTTGCAATGACAAAAGCTCAAGTGAAATATTTCATGAGTTATTGTGGTCCAGTGCAAACCACCCCAAAATATGCGCACTTTTGAACAAACCTGTCGAGGCAAACGCGTCGGTATTTTCAGGTCAGCCTCGGGGTGTGATCTGATTCCTTTTTTTGTCAGATTCCACTAGAAGGCATATTTTCTGATGTATGAGGTTTGCTGTGACATGCTGACATGTGTGAAGCGACATTCTAGTTTGAGGGGAAATTCATGTGTGCTTATTTGGTGATTTGTGTATTTTTCCCCCCACATGACACCTGTTGGGAGTGCATTGAGGTCACAACAAAGCAGGGGGAGAAGCATAAAAAGCTTTCTATGAACCGTACAGGAAGGAAAAGGGGGAGGGCAGCAAATTTGGGATGAAAGTTTTTTTTTTTAGAAAGGGGGCTTCAGTGGCAGCACGTGGGGAAGGGAGTGGTCTAGGACTGATGGAGGGAGTTGTGTGTGCAGGGTGGTTGGGTGTGTGACCTGGTAGACAGAATGGGAGGGAAAGTGGGCTCAGATTTCAGCCTCACTGGGGGTAAGGGGCTGGGCTGGTCCTTGGGAATATACGAAGATTCATTCAAGGTAACGGGGACATAAAACTACTGCTTGTGGCCCTCAAAGTGGTCGGTGCTGAGCTTGTTCCTGCAGGTTCGAGTCCTGCCTGCTGGATTCCCTCCCCCCCCTCCTTCTCCCTTGGTTGCCGCTCGACAAGGGTGACTGTTGAATGGTGCTGCTTTGAAATCGCTGGAGGACACACGAACTTTAGAGACTCCCTTTGCGCAAGAAGTTTCTCCTTCCAGGGCCACTGCGTGTCTAATATTTAGACATGGTCAGCTTCCTGGATTCAAGGACTCTACTGCTATTTGCAGCCGCACAAGTGTGCCTATTAGCCATTGTCAGATGTCAGGACGACAACCGTAAGTGCCCTTTACTTTGCTGTCCGCTTCTTTCTTCCTATGAGGTCTCGGGGTCATTTTTGCGCACGGGGCAACTCTTTTACGCACAAGTTGGAAACAGTTTGCAAGATGTGGAGCGCAGGTGTGTGTGTGTGTGTGTGTGTGTGTGTGTGTGTATGTGTGACTAAGAGTTATGTGCACCTTTTGGCTACTAAGTGGGATAGTTGCCAGTGTCCGCTGCTTTCCGCAGTGGCATAAAAATAAGTGAGTAAAATGATAAATGATAACTCACACAAAAGCTGGAGCTAAATCTCAAACGTTAGCTTTGATTCCCCCTGGGTGTTTTTCTTACTCTCCCTCCTCCAGTCCTGCTGCAGTCTTAAGATGAACACCTGTGGGTGCTTTATGAACACTACCAGGCTCTCCTTTTAACTGTCTATTCAATTAATACATACCTCAAAGTTTGTACATTCAAAAATACATTGAGAAAAGGTCCTTTAAATGTTCCTAATTTCAATTTGTGCATCGTTTGCACCTGATTTTTTTTTGTCGTTTTTTTTTCTTTGTTAATGTCATTTTACTACATTTTAATCATGTGCCACCGATGTACTTTTTTTCAGTATCCATGGTTCTTCAAGTACCACCGTAATGACCAAGATTAAAATGCAGCAGTGCAGGAGGTTTAAGTGTTCATCAAAAATTACTTTTTATTCCAAAAAATTTATATATTTTTTTGTTAACAATTATAACTATTCATTATCATTAACACTGGACATGAATATTTGGGGAGAAAAAAAAACTATTGTACTTTAAAGTGAAATACAACTGAACGGTACTTCACAAATGTCCTATCTAGCTATCTAATTAACTCAGAGATTCTTACACATACCACTAGACGTAGCATACTTTTAGGTTCACTGATATTGAGCGTGAGGAGGAGGGGGTGGGCAGAAAAAAAAAATGAAAGGTGGTCAGGCTCAAGGGCCTTTGGTGAAAAGTGATCACATTCCATTGCCGTCAGAGGGCATCCAGGCAAATCCGAGCTTGCCTCCTGTTTTCAAGTTCAGCCCTGGGTAATATTTGCATGAAAAATTTAAATAAACAGCACTCCATCAATAATCACATAAGTTTGCCCTTTAGTCCCTTTAAACTCAAATTGAGTATCCACAAGCGATTTAAGAGTGAGGGATCGGCTCCAGGAGTAACGTTCCATAAGCAAGTTTTCCATCTGCTTTAAAGATTGGCCATAAAATGTGACTGTTGGCTTGTGTGCAAGCGAGGGATGATTGGTGGGGAAAGACAGAAGAGAGGGGCTTTTGTTATCTTCTAGAGAAGGAGCAGATTCAAGGTGAATTTACACCTAAAAATGGGCCAGTCAGGTCTCAGGTTACGCTCCCCAAAAAGCTTTGGCTGGAGAGTGGTAGTAAAGTCAGCTGAGGCAGGCTTGGGTCTCTTTTTGACCTTTTCAGCTTGAGAAAAAAAAGTGCAACAAAAGAACTAGACAGTATAAGATGGAAAACAGCTCTTCAAGATGCACCTGGGAACACTTTATGCTTTTCATCCCCCCTCCCCCATCACCAGCACATCCACTATTCTGGATAGAAAAATTGCCAACATGACAGCGTCTTATTTGCATAATCACAATGTCTTCTTTTGATCGAGGCGGACGTACGTCTTTTGACCGCACATCAAAAGGTGTGCGCATAAAAGCTGATCCGCCCCCTTGCCGCCCCCAACCGCTGGCACCAAGGTGGGCTCCCAAGAACGCACCCTGTGTTTACATAAGGCCCTAAAAGTTAGTGAATTGCCCGCTCTGTCTGCCCCTCCAAAAAGGACACATTCATTCATGGTTTACGCAGTGGGGGCCTTAAGATCACATCCACCTGAGCGCTTTTCCTAAAGGTAAACACAGCTACTGTATTTGGAGGATAGGGGGCGGGGGGCTTTTCTCTATCCCCTCCAATGGATTGCACACGCAATCAAAACATCTGTGAGTGGAAAAATCAACTCCGGTGGTACAAAAGACCAACAAGCTCATTGTTGGGGATGGGGGTGTGCACCTTAATGTACAGTAGCGGCACTGAGAGGCATCAGATTGACATGCCAAGTTGACGTCTGAATGTCAAGTCAGTCTCTCATGTCCACTAAATGGAAAGCAGCCCAATGTTTTTGGGGAAGGGCCTCCAGCTCTTTTGAAGTTAGTGCCTGCAGTTCTCAGTCCTGCAACGTTACACTGCCACCCAGTGGCCATGTCATAGGTTACCTTTAAATGGGATTGAAGCATCCCAGTTGGGATTTGGTAAAACCAATGTGATTCATAACTGAGTCAATTTGTGGTGAATGTGTGTTTGTGTGCGTTTAAAAAAAAGTCTGTAGGAAGCTATGTGAAGAGAAATGTTCCATGTTTCAATCTACTTTATGAACAATGATTCATGAACAAATGCCATCGCGGCAACCAAATCAGGCATTTTAAACATTTGAAGGTTCAATGTTTTAGGTGATTTTTGTTGATCACAGCGCCCCTGAATTTTTGTGTAATTAAAATTGCATATAGCAGGCTGGCTTTAAGTTTTCTATTGGCACGGTTGGTAGGTTGCCCATTACGAGCTGTAGTGCATGTTGCTAAATTACCATTTGGAAATGATTAGGAATGAAATTTTAACTTTACAATTTTGCCACTTAGGCTGACTTGTGTCATTTCCAGACAGAAGATAATCAGCCCCAAAAAATCCATTTTAAAGTTTGTGAATCATTTTGGGTTTAGGAGTACATTAAACAGTGTCGGAGAGGGAATGCTAATTAGTGTGATACTTTTGTGTGTGTGTGTGTGTGTGTGTGTGTGTGTGTGTGTGTGTGTGTGTGTGTGTGTGTGTGTGTGTGTTGGGCGGCTGGTTACAACATGAGACGCACATGCACAAAACTGCTTTTGTAAAGGTAATGATGTGTTTTGCTCTTAAGTTGAGTGATTGCGGTGATGCTCAACCGCATTCCATCACATTGAGAGTTGAGAGTTGTATGTAATATTTTGCTTCTCATATGGAGCTTAATCAGGCAAGTGTCATGTATGTCATATCAGCTTTATGTATTGGATGAAGCGCTTACAATGTGTGTATGAGGAGTGTCCTCCTGTTTCCCCAGATGCATCCCAATAAATTGAAACAGAGCGTCTCAAACTGCGGTCCAACGACACCCGTGGGTACATGAGTCGTAAGATTCGCAGTCCACGAAATAAAATACAAAAAAAAAAAAACTTATCAGTTTATGTGATTTTAAAAGAGTGCATACATACATTTGGGGACAATACAACGAATCTGACAGAATGTTTTTGTTAATTGTAATTTACTCTCAAGACATGAAAACATTTTTTTAAAGCCAAATAAGAGTACACATTTTTGGTTATGTTTAATTGATGTTGGAATTATGAGTGGCTCCTTGGAAAAATGTATCCCCTAATTTAAGAATATTGTAGAAAACGTCTATTTCAATAGCTCCATTCAAAAAGTCAAACTCATATACACAGTAGATTCACTACAGATCGTGAAATATGTCTTCATACTCTGTTTTGATGAGTATATTTTACAGCTAAGGAAAAGACCAAATCAATAAATTAGAATATTAGGTAAAAAAGAATCAGCAAGATTATTTTAGGGAAAAAAATAGGTAGGAATTGGCCTGAATGAATGTTTGGAATTGACTCCTGAAACAAACAAGCTTTTCTATTATCTTCGACTTTATTGGGATGCACCTGCTACTGTGAAATCTATCAAATGTTGACATGTTCTTACTTCATCTCATCGCCAACCTTCGCATGCACCCTGACACCCGTGCCCTCTGGCCCGCTGCAGAGGAGGGTGCCCCTAGCTGCTTGCAGGACGGCCAACGTTATAGCGACAAGGACGTGTGGAAGCCCGAGCCATGTCGCATCTGCGTGTGCGACACCGGGACTGTCCTATGCGACGAAATAGTCTGCGAGGAGCTCAGAGACTGCCCCAAGCCTGAAATCCCATTCGGAGAGTGTTGCCCCATCTGCGCCGCTGACTCTTCGCCGCCCATTGGTTGTAATTTATTTATCTCAAACTTCTCATAAATAAATTACCCATCCGCCTGCAAAATCATGTTGTTTACTTTGGGCCCAATTGGATTTACCTTTTATTCAGTTTGCCCTTTCAAAGTAAAGACATGACTTTCGAAAAAGAGCAGATCTCACTGAAACGCTTCCTTAATGTTTTTTTTTTCTTTTTCCACAAGCTCACCTTGGCTGCACCTTGCCAGAATAGTCTTCGCCATGTAAAAAAAAAAAAACATGTGGCAGCCATTAAAGGAAATACCTCAAGTCAATGAGACGCAGCTTCACATTTCTCCTTCACATCCCTCACTCTTCTCTTTGCTTTTATGTGTGAGATGTGGTGAGAAAACGGTGGCGGCTTGCCGGTTAGGGCTTCATGAATGAGGTTTATATTAAAAAAAAAAATAAAAACTCCCTGAGGAAGCGTGAGTGAAATCAAGTGCCTGCCTGGCGTCGGGTGGAATCCATGCACCTCAAATTATCACGTTTCAGGAGATCCCAAAAATGTCCCATTTATTCAGCCATTAGCATTGCATCGTCAAGGAGAGCAAGTCATTTTCAACAACTAACATTGGTCAATCATAAAAAAATATACAAATCAGACCAATATTAAAGATTTGTGAAAACGTGAATTTTACCAAAATGTGACATTGGAGGTTTCGGCCCGATGCCAGCAAAAATTATGCTTGTTAGCAGTGCAACACAAAATGGCAGCAATAAATACCTGTGTAGCCATAAAGCTATTAGGAGTAATAAATGGCATAGTTTCTTATTAGAATTATACATTTGGCTTCCAAATGTGCTAGTTTTTCTTTTTGTGGACTGGCAGTAGGATTTCTAAGGTCAGTATGAGGAAATATCATTTTTATATTGTCACTGTCCAATGAAAAACTTTTTTTTTTTAAATTCAGAGTATAAACATTTACTTCACTTATCCGCACTGTTGGGCGAGAGCCTGTCATAGCCGGTTTTGCACACCCTGGACTGGTCGCCAGCTAATTAGCACACACAACCATTCCCATTCGCACCTGTGGACAATTTAGTCTTCAATGAAGCTAACATGAACGTTTTGGCACTGTGGGAGAAAACCCACTCAAGCATGGGACGACTATGTCAAAGCCACGGAGGAAGGCAAAAACCCAGATTTGAACCCCGAACCTCAGAACTGTCAGGCTGACATGCTAATCACTACTACATTGTGTCGAACCGTCTAATACTTTCCCAAAAAATTTTTCCAATTTCCCTATTTGTTGATTTCTTTTTGAGTTCTTGTGCTAAAAAAAAAGTACATCAAAAACACTAATGTTCTTTTTTGATTTTCATTGGACAGTGCAAATATATTTCCCTCCCTTTAAGAGATCGTGTTTCAATGGTGCTTTCAAACAAAGGCAACAATGCCGAAATATTATTTGAATATATACGAGGTGTCGCAAAAATGTACTCACTCTTGACGCCCGATATTTTTTTTGATTAGACCAGTGATTCTCAAAACTTTTCACACCAGTTGCTGCCTCAAAAAATACTTGGCTCTCCAAGTACCACCAAAGTGGCCAAAGTTCAAATCCAGTCGGTAGTAGGCGTAAGTCTTCATTAAAAAAATGAGGCTGAGGTTTCATTCCTAAAAAGTATATTTAATATTTTTGTAAGCCATTCTAATCCACGCAGTTTGCGCATGAAGACTAGCCCTAAATATACACAGAATTTTTTTTTTCAACAAAAACTTTTACACACATCTATTTTGTCACGTGGTTGCACAAAAAAAAAAAAAAAATCTGGATCCAGATACATTTTGTAAGTAGACTACGTCCCCTTAAAAAAATGTATCTGCATGCAATTGATTTTATTTGGTGCAACCACTGAACAAAAAGGAAATTGAGTAAAAATTTTTTCAGTGTCGGAAAATTTAAAAAATGGCCTAATGAATCAAATAAAATATACTGCACAAAAGAAAAATGTTGTAGCTAAATAAATGTTTGAAAAGAAACAAAAGATGAAATAAAAACAATAATTACAACTCACCTGGAGTTTAAAAACATACTGCACTGGATTAAAAAAACAACAATTTGAAGCCACTGTAACATGCAGTATGAACATTTAATTCAGTGATTCTTTCATGCACCAGTAGGGGGAACCTGTGTACCACTTTTTCTCAAATGATTTATAGGCCGTTTTCCTCAATGCTGCTAAGTTATTATGTATTAGATCGACTATTGTTTTCTTTAATTAACCTCATCAAACTTGTATATATGTTAATAAGCACGTCAAAACAAAGCGTATGGGGAAATGGGTTGACATTGTGAGTACATTTTTGGGGGTCACCCTGTATTGTTTGTGCTTTCTACCATCGCCCGCTGCCCGGTGGATGGTCTGAAAAATCCGCTTTCTGCTTTAACGCTTAAGATGGAACGTCAGCAACATCCAAATGGGCAATTAGGGGTACGAAAATATCACATTTTTGCAGGTTTTTCTTTAGAGTGCGCAAATCTTTAAAGTAAGATGACAAAAAAAGAGATTATCAGCGTGTGGACTAAGGAGAGAAGTTTTAGAAGTGCTGGTTTTGTTTTGTTTGTGAACCCGCGTGCTAACTCTTTTTCTCATCTCTACTGCCACGTCACAGGAACACCTGGAGCTAAGGTGAGCTTTGCATGTGTGCGTGAATGTGTGTGGAATGAAGGTCCCGTGTTCATTTTTGAGCCTGTGCTCTAAAGGTTTTAGACATTTGGGTGCCCGTGGTTATTTCGTGCAGGCTGCTGCGTTCGGGTGTCTAGTGAGACTGTAGCAGATGTTCGTTTCAATATCTTACTTGGCCGATAATGCAAAGAAGCATATTGATTGTATGATGACTTTGATTTAGGAATGCCCCGGCGTGTACTGTGGTTACAAAAATATCCTAATATGGCAATTCAAGGATTTAGGCTTGACTGCCATCATGCGTCATAATGTCCTAAATAACCAAAAACACAAACAGCGTTTCCTCATGCGGTATCTGCAAGGTGTTTATTTGTTCAACCGCAGAGTTAGCAGGCATCATGGAGAATTGCAAATGGTTTTTGGAAGCCATCTATCGAGTGGGTGACACTCTGAACTGGTGGCAGGACATGTTTGTTCTCTTTCATGATGGTTTTCCTCAAATGAGCAACAAATGTCAAAACAATATTGGCCATTACCGACCGCCAATTTTCATGACGGCACAGTAAAGTCCAGCTTGACAGATTCCATCTCTGCTATTCAAATAAAGGCATATTTTGAACAAATCCATCAATTCTTTTATACATGGCATGTAGACAAACAACAATTCATGCTCGCATTCACACGTGTGGACAATTTAGAGCACAGGTGTCAAACTCAAGGGCCGGGGGCCAGATCTGGCCCGCCACGTCATTTTATGTGGCCCGCAAAAACAAATCATGTGTGTCAACTTCCATGATCACTGCCAAAATCTGTCTTTTGTAATGCATAACGTTGAGACTTTGTAATAATTTTGTGAGCCTGTTTACACTTCCTTCAACAATAATTGACCAAACAACAAACAAATAGTTGACTGATTTCAAAACTAATAATCGATCCAATTTGTTGCGTACAAGTAGAATACAATATGGATGAAACATTTCATCGGTTTCACTGTTGTAACGGCACTCCGAGGGAAGATGTAACTCCATAGTGACCTTCGACAAAAATACGTTTGACACCCCATGATTTAGTCTTCAATGAACCTAATGTGTATGATTTTGGAATGTGAGAGGTAAAAAAATGAACAAATGCAGTATAACTACAATGTGTAATACCCAATGTTTTTTTTTGTTATTACAGTAGTGTATTGCTAATGTGTTATTGATGGTTTTTTTTCTTTGTTTTGGTTCGTCTCACAGGGCCAGAAAGGCGAACCCGGAGATATTACTGATGTAAGTGAACACCACTGAGTGATCGCTCCTCCAAATGTGAGATCAGATTGTATTTTGGTGTGTACTCAGTGGGAAAGAAAGGCCCAATTGTTATTGAAGCTCTACAAAGTCTTCATTGGCTGGAGCCACCTGGAAATGCTTTGCCCCACTCCGAGCGCACGCTACTTTGTGGTTCCAAATAAAAACGGAATTGTTTATCTTATCTTTCGTCGAAATGCTTTCCCCTTTCGAGGATTAGCCATTAGCGAGTCTACTCTGATGAGTGGTGATGGGGGAAGAGAGAATGCCTTGCTTTCCCCTCTTTGTGAAGTGGAAAGACAACCAAAATGCAGAAAGCTTTTGAAACTCTGCAAAGGATTCATTGTTATTGTTATACTTTTCACGATGAACAATTGTTATATGAACTATGTTATTCTGCACCCAAATACTTTCGACTCCAGTTATTATAGCTGTCACTTTTTACTCCTTCGACATTTCCCAACCAATTCAAACCCTTCCCACTTCCAAAATATTGACAACCTTCAAGACATCTGGGAAGTCATTTTTACGAGTTGCCCAAATTCCAACTTTTCCCACATTTGCACATTATCCATTTACATAAATCCCTTTGACATATTTTGTTAAATTTCCATCATCTTTCCACATTGCCTCACCGATTCTAATCATTCCCACTTCAAAATGTTCACAGAATTCAGGACATCTTGGGAGCCCTTCCCCAAATTCTGACATATTTCAGTATTCTACATTTTCACTGTTCTCCATTTTCCGTGACAACATTCCCGAAGCATTGCACACATTTAACATTTTTACATCCTCCTTACACATTTCTCAAACAATTGCCACCACTCCAACGTCAAACTGTTAAGCTCATTCGAGACACCTTGTGAGGTATTTATCACATTCCAGTATGTTTTTAGTATTCCACACCTCCCACGACAAAAATCCCCAAATAATGCCTGTTTTTTTTTCAAACCTCTCTCATTTAAATTTTTCGTCTCACATTCCACATTTTTCCATTTTAGTGAGTTATTTGTTATTCCATATTCAAACTGTATATGTGATCTGATTATTTACTGTAGCATTTACACAGAACTTTGACAGAAATTGCATTCTCTGTTTACTAACGGATGTCTTCATTGTTCTCTGACAACACAGGTCGTAGGACCCAGAGGACCACCAGGCCCAATGGTCCATTCTCATTCATAATTTTTTTTTTTTGTTCATTCATTCATTCATTCATTCATTCATTCATTCGCTGCACATAAAGTTCGCAATATAACATGACGTGCTCACTCAGGGCCCACCAGGAGAGCAGGGAAATCGCGGACCAAGAGGAGACAAGGGAGAGAAGGTAAGTCTGCTTTATTTGTGTTTATTTTTTTAGAAGTACAGTATGTTCGTGTTTCAGCTGCTATGGACCGACGTAGGTGTGAAGAAAGGCAGCCTTTCATATAGCCGTGTGTCATTTGCATTAAGCGGTGTGGTCCACCGGGCTTGTTGAACACAGGCGGTCCTGTCGTAATCTCTCTGCCCTCTCGGTGTGGACACACGGCAAACTACGCAGCCTTTGATAATGTGCATATCGAACACATGGCCAGCCGTCTCATCATATTCTTGTGATTTGTCGGCGCACGCATTCGAGCCCAGTCTGCCGCGACCTCGTGAATCATCATCTGCCTCCTCGAACATGTCGTTAACCCTTTCAGGGACAGCGCTGACTACAGTGGACAGCTAATCGTGTTGTCAGGTTACAGGATACATGAAACAGTTAAAGGGAATATTTAGGCATGATGGATAGTTAGCCACTACCAGCAGTAGTGTCGTGTTCTCGACATCTCATGAAGTCTAGGGCCGCAACATAGAATAGATTTTAATCACCATTGATTGACAGCAATTAGAAGCAGAATTGAGGCCTATTACAAAGGTACATGTGTCTTCCAAAATATTCTACATGAGTGAAATTATACACAACGCAAACGGAGAGAAGGTCAATAAGGTCAATAATAAAAGTAGGGATATGCTCTAAGCCAGGGATGGGAAACTTGCATGAATGAGGGTGCTACTGGGGGCCACACACTTCGTACCCAGATGTCTGACAAAAATGGACACAATACTTCCATTTGTGCAAAATACGTACTCTTAATATGTTCTATTTTTCATAGTAGTTTCTACATTTCTCAATGCATGCATACAAGATCCAGTCTTCAACAACAAAGGGTTTGACCAATCACAAATTAATCACGTACGCGACTGTGAATTTTTGTTCCGTGCAAAGGCCTCTCATGCATAAAAATGATCACTAGTCAACAATTTTTTACAGACATGACGCCATCTCCGAATGAAATTAGCGGTTGACCAATGTTTAAATTCAAGGACGGCACAAAACTGCTGAGCACCAAATCAACATAAAGTCATTTCGTGCATTTTTTTTCACAAAAATCAACTCACTCTAAAGTCGAATATTATTTTGGTACTATGTTTGTCCAAATCCACAAAAAACTTGTGAGGCTTACTCATGTTGTAGTAAAGGGCAGTATACTTATGGTTAAATTGTACTAAATCAAACACTGACTTGTTTTTATTGTTCTCAAAAAGTTTTTTCAATGAAAATATTCATTATCTTTCCATAGATTCTATTTCCATAATCATATTTCGCATGAGTCCTTGAAATTGTGTCCACCCTGTCATTACAGGGCAAATGGCCGTTGAATAAGCCCACTGGGGGTTTCATTGATGTTACAAAGAGTTTTTTGTCTTTCTTCAATGGCTGACCAAGTGAAAAGTTCAAATCAATATTTGCGCTTATGTTTTGTGATTTCAACACTCTGTCATAGTGATATATCAATGACCGGTCATATAAAAATCTTTCCAAAGTTCGATTTTTTTCATTCATTCATTCATTTATTCATTTATTTGCAATACACTGTCAGCTTGCTAACTGAATCATGTTACTAAGTCAGGGTCCACCATGTGCTCATTAAATGCCACCATTAGCCAAAAATGTCCACCCTGTCAGCAAGATCACATAATTTGCCGTCTGCATGTACGCTGAACCCTAATTTGATCCCAGTGCACCTTGCAAGCAGCCTGCCATTGGTGTATGAACGTGTGTGTGAATGGCTGAAATGTGAGGTTTTGTCAAGCGCTTTGGGTACCATATGGTGTCGATAAAACACGACATACTACGTTTATGTTTATATTATCTGCTTGAAAAAAAACAAGTGTGGGAGCTTGACCATTATGCATTTGTACCAACTTCATATCTCCCAAACACAATGAATATAAAGTTGAATTAAAAATCTCAAGTCTTTCTGGGGTGAATTAGGGAAGTTTCCAAGGCTGTTTAAGGGGTAGTGACATCATATCAATACATTAAAGATAACACGGGGCAACAGTGCTGTTTCTGAATAAGATCTAAGTCTAAGATTGGGCTGAGATTTTTTCCTTGTACAGCGATTAGTGTTTCTGGTACAAAAATATTTAACTAGCAGGTATCAATGCTGATAAACTTGTGAGGCATAAAATGAGGACAAGGGCAAGGGGGTAGCTTAACAAGGGAGGGTGTTGTTATTGCAAAAACATGAATACTCTTGGTGAAGGAGAGATGGACGCTAATCTTGAAATGAAAACCCCATTTTGGGATGAGACATACAAACCGAAGATGACATGGGCAAAGCACTTTGTAATGTTGCATTGTCCATCTGTCAAAAGGATGCCTGCTTCCCACTGGGACTCATTTTGGGCAAATTCCCTCATAGGAGTTAATCAAAGTGCTTCTTCTTTGCAGCTTTTTCCGATCTGGGGTTTCAAATCAGCCTTGTTGAAATTTTTTTGAGGCTCATTTCAATTTAAGTTTTGGCTTCATTTTTTAATTGACAATTTTGACAGCCATTGCTGACTGTAATCCTACCGAGTTACCCGGATTTGGGACCAGCTCTAAGATGGGCTATCTTAAAATTTCGATTTAGCCAATTAATCGTCCAATTATTGAAAAAAAAAATACATATATCGATCCATCCATTATCTGAACCGCTTATATCCTCACGAGGGTTGCGGGAGTTCTGGAGCCTGTCCCAGCTGACTTCGGGCAGTAGGCGGTTCACTCTCTGCACTGGTTGCTACCCAACCGCAGGGCACACATAGACAACCATTCGCACTCACAATCAAACTTACTGAAAATTTAGCGTGATCTATCATGGATAGAATAACTTTTTTTTTTTTGGTCCTGTAACGCTTACAAAAAAATAAAGATATTATTTACAGGCAGAATATTTCACTGTTTTACAATAGAGTACTTTGCCCTTTAGTATTTGATTAACTTTACAACAGAGAGAAAAATCGGCAATAATTTTTTTTGGGGGTGGGGTGGGGGTTGTCTGACTGTCAGTATCTTTGGCATGTTGTAATGTCTTGATATGGAAAAAATGAAATGAAATTAAAAATAAAATTCTCAAACAGCTAGTATCGATTAAATTAGTACACTGTGTTGTTCTGAAGTCTAGTAATGCGTTTTGGGTTGTGTTTTTTTAGAACTTTGCTGCTCAGATGGCAGGTGGCTTTGATGAGAAGGCCGGCGGCGGCGCTCAGATGGGCGTAATGCAAGGACCCATGGTGAGCCAGCAGCTTTCCCTTCTTCTTTTTCCTCATCTTCTTTCCTTTTGCGAGAGCGCACACCAACCTGTCAAAAAAGCTTAAAAAGAGAAAAAACAAAAAATCGAGATGGTAGCTGGCCTGCTGGACCGCAGCAGCTCCACAAGAAGGACACATCGTCATCGTGAGGGGGATTTAAAATGATCAAGGAATGAGAAGAAAGTTGAAAAGAAGCTTATTCAACCTAGAAATGTTCTGGAAGATGGAATTAAAAGTTCAAGATCGGATCGACGCCTTTACCTTGGCTCCCAGTCAGTCTGCAAGAGTGACATTTAATGAAAAAACACACCCGCTGGATCCCGCCTTGTACCACAGTGTTGAACAATACTGCTAGTGAGACCCTCTTAAACACACACGTGCAGTATATGAAGAGGTTCTGACCCTACAGAGCACCATTGATAATCCTCAAACCACATTGGTGAAGTCTTCCTGCTCTCACTCAAAGGTGACTTTCATTCACTTCTGAGGACCGCTGTGCCGCATTTATTTAATTTGGGGGGTGGGGGATATTTTGAAGATGGTCCAACATGCTGAAAGGAGGGTTTAGAAGGCATGATGTTTAACTCTGCAAATATTTGAAGAACTTCCATTCATTTAGTAAGAAAGATATCCTTTATTTGTTCTTTATTTTCTATAGTACTTGCCTTTAACATTAACTCACATCCATTTTGGAGCATTTTGACTTTTTTAATACATGACATTGTGTTCAATTATTATATATACACACACAACAAATGGTTTACTAAAGTTTTATCATCAGCAGTAATATAATTATAATCAGTTTCTCTCACTGGACTCGCAAGCCGATCCTAAAATGGTTGCATCGCTACCATCTACTGGTGGTTGTCCGTCAGCGAAGTTGTTGGTTGCCATGCTTTAACTTTACATTGGAGCAGCGTCAGAACCTCCCTCATCCTTCCCCAATGGAAAACGTAATTGACTCACCAATGGCAGTGAATGAGTTCCAAAGTTTCACAGGTAAACTGAAGCCAACATGCAAACTCCACACAGGAATGCTGGAGCCAAGATTCAAACCCCCGAACATCGAAATCGACATGTCAGACATGCTTACGGCTTGTCCACAGTGCTTCACATTGAAATAACTTTTTTTCCCACGTCTTTTCCCCAAAGTGTTTGGCTCATCACCTTCACAGAATGTGATTTTCTCTTGTTAAGCGTTGTAAGTGGTCGGGGGGAGGTGGGGCGGGGGGTGGTTGAGATTGAGGCTGAGCGGAACAGAAATGAGTCGTAGGAATCTCACCTGCTGCTGAGGGAAACGAGTAGAGCCGCGTTTGTCTTCTTTTTCCTTCCGAGTCGCTGCCTCGAAGAAGTCACGCAGAGTTCAAACATGCTACTCAACTCTCAACCTTGAGAGCTACACAACCAGAGTGGGTGACACTGTGGAATTTCAAATGATTTTCTTCCATGTGGAGGTTGCGCAGCTAGTGGAGGCAAAATTACCCACGCTCTGTATTGAAGTAGAAGTCCAGAAACCTGTGCTGAAAAAGCCCGGTAAAAATAGTATTACTATACTCCCATACTTAGACCCTGTAAAGTGAATTCAGAGATTTTTTTTCAAAATGTGTTACACATGTTTGAAGATAATTGCTGAAAGCATGTGCACAGAGTCAGAACTATGTCACACTGAATTGTGCAGATTTAGAGCTTGATTTTTACTGAACGGCAGAAATCCTGTAAAGCACAACTTGGTGCAGAGGTGGGTTGAACCCCGTGTTGGTAATTTCATAGATGGGTGCCAGCTGGTGGATAAAAACTAACAAGCTAAAACTAAAATATCAAAACATTTTTGGCAATAAAGTAAAATAAAAATGAGCGATATTAAACAAACAATGACTAACACAAATTTATCAAATTAATAAAAATGGGCTTGAATTATGGCAATAAAGTCCTTTGTTTTTGTCTTTGTGCAGTACATTTCAAGGTTTGTATTAAATGTGTTTATTTCAATATGACGTGATGGCCGTATTGAAGAAGCAAGATTGAACTTTATTAAAATGACATGAACCTTTTTTTGGTTGTTTTTTTTTTTTATCTTTCAATCCACAAATACGCCACATATTAAAAACAAAGTAAAAGTAACATTAAAACGATTAAAAACTAAAGTAAAATTAAACATTTTCTGGGGGAAAAATGACTAAAAACTAAAAAACCCATTCTAAAAATAAAAAAGAACTGAATTTAAAATAACAAAAGTCAAAACAAAGTAAAAACTGCCAAATCCCAACCTATTATAACCCTGCCTCAAAATGAGCATCATCTTTGTCAAGACATATTCGATGTGAAGCAGGTGTACCATATTGAATCTGTGATTATTGTTCATTCCTGATTGGGCTGTTCTTCTCTTTCCAGGGCCCAATGGGTCCCCGAGGACCACCTGGACCCACTGGATCTCCTGTAAGTACTGACTTTACAGTATTCACTTTGCAGTCATTTCCTGTCACATACACACACACACACACACACACACGATAATTCCGACTGTAACGCAGCCAGGACAAACTATGTGTTTACAAAGTGGTGGATACTTTCAGCAACCAGCTTTGTTTTCTTTTGTTTTTTTTTTCACCTGCCAATTTATGTCTGGCGACCTCGCCCTGATTTTCGTCGCCTCCTCCTCCGCACCTGGAGGGCTCGCAGGTTTCTCCCACCCTGTAGAAGAAAAGCATTAGATAGGCAATGCCCAGAAACGGGTATTAACGTGATGTGGTTCCTGTGCGGAAACCTCCAGGTGCTTTCAGAAAGGTGGGAAAAAAAAATCCTTTGCGTAGACTAAATTTGTGGATTTCAACCACTGTGTTGGATTAACCCTTTCATGCACCCTGTAACCTGATAACATGATAAGATGTCCACTGTAGTAACCGCTGTGCCTGAAAGGGTTAATTATAATGTCAATCGGTTTAACTTTTGCATTTATAACATGTATCCCTCGAGGCAGTACAAAACAGTTCTGCAGACACAACCTGCTGCTACTCTAAGTACTTAGCATGATGCTGGTAATATTTGTCATTTCTCATACTGTGGAGGATAAAGAATATATGTATTGTTACATCATGTTGCTCCGCTGTGATCAAATATCCAGAAGCAAACGCAAACAGATCTG